TCTCTCTCTCTCTCTCTGCTGTTTCCTCCCCCTCCTCGCTCAGAGCTTATATAAAAGTACCTCCACTGGGCTGTGTGACCCTGGGCAGAACATTCTCTCTCCCTCTCTGAGCTTGACTTCTGGAATGTGAGGCTGGAGGGCAGACACATTGCCACAAAGACTCAACCTTGCGTGCTTCTCACTCCAACAGCGCGCTGGAAACGCGGATCCAGGCCCTGGAGACTCAGCAACAGGCAGAGCTGGTCGCCCTCCAGAGCGAGAAGGAGCAGCTGCAGCGCCTGCTCAGCCGCCACAGTGGGACCCTCGACGGCGTGGAGCGCACCCTGCGCGCCGCCAGCACCAACTCCACGCTCCTGCAGAACCAGCAGCGCCAGCTCTTGGAGTCAGTGCAGAGACTCATGCGCGCCTTCGCCCAGCGCTCCGGTGAGGGTGGGAGGCAAGGGTGAGGGGAGTCCCTGCCTACGCTGTCTGTGCACTTGGGGGCGGGGGGGACTTAGAACCCTTGCAGAAAAGGCTCCACTCCTCTCTGACTTCCGCCTCTGCAGCTGCTAAATAAGAACGTGCTTTGTGCCGTTGAGGGGGACCATCTCACAGATGACCCTCCAGCAGATTTTTAGAGGCTGTAAATTGCAGGGGAGAAGATTTCTCCCGCAGAGCAGCTGTGGAATCTGCCGTGGATTCGAACCACTGGCCTTTGGGTTGGCAGCACCACTCCTTACCACTAAATCACTGTTGTGTGCTGTCACAGAACCAACTCATAGCTAATCCTCCAGCAGGTTTTCAGAGGCTGGAAATTGCACAGGAGGAGATTGCCCATCTGTTTCCTGTGGAGCAGCTGTTGAATTCAAACCACCTGCCTTTGGGTTGGCAGCACATCTTCTGGCCCCTAAGCCACCAGAACTCCTCAGTTAGAACTAGCAATAGCAGTAGTAAGAATGGCAGTAAAAAAAGAAGCCAAACCAAAACAGTTGACATTCTTTTGAGTCAGTGTGAACTCTCAGCAAACTCTCTGTCGTGTTTCTGAGGCTGTAAATCTTAATGGGAAGAGATTGTGACCTTCTGGGGGATTCGAGCTGCTGGAATCACTTGGCCTTTGGATTAGCAGAGGTACTTGCTATGGACTCTACCACCAAAGCTCCCTATAGTGGCAATAACAAGAACTGGTCTACACTCTGCCCGTCCCTGTGCCATAGGTGAGCTTGAACATGCAGCTGCCCCTCTCTGGACCTCAGTGTCCCACCTATTTAATGGAGAGATGATGATAATAATAATAATAATAATTTATTTCCAGCCATCCATTTGGTTTCCAAGGCTGTAAATGGTACCCAAAGAGATGGTCTATCTTTCTCCTTGGGAGCCATTGGTGGATTCGAACCATTGGAGTGAGGAAGCCTTTAGGTTGAAGGTGCAACTCCCTACCTACTAGGCCACCAGAGCTCACTGAAATAAAAGAACAACATCAATTCAAAATGACAAGTTTAATTTCCAGGGTCTACTCTCCAACTTTTTTTTTCTCCCTGCTTCTCCCTGGGCCTCCATTTCCTCCTTCTGAAATGGGGAGGCTGAGTCCAGAGCTTCCCAATAGCTTCTCCCCTTCTAATGCTCTCTGCCCTAAACCTTTGGCCAAGCCAAACAAAATATGGAGGCTCCTGGGGCTCTGGCTTCTGAGGAGGGAGAATGTTGCCTGCACCAGTTTCCCAGCTCTGACTGTTTCTAAGCAACCCACTCGGGATGGGATGCACAAGGCATTTCCAGCCCAATTTTAATTATTAAGTCAACAAGTATTTCTCGAGCATCCACTATGTGGTAGACCTGGTGCTGGGTGCTGGGATGCAGCTCTAGACAATTCAAAGCATCCAACTTTTGCAAAATAAAGATCCTTACTCCTGTATCTGTGGGTCTTGAAGGAAGGAGAAGCGAATGCCTGTTTGTTGAAGGACTCTGCTAATAGTGTCTCTGAAGTTTCCAGACGTTGGTCAGCTTAAAAGGAAGAGAGGTTTTGGACCCTAAGGGCAGTGAGGAGCCAGGAGGGGGCTTTGAACAGGATGAGATTATGTTTTAGGAAGTTCAGTTTGGAATCAGAGAGGAGAGTGACATAACAGGGAAAGAAAGATCAATAAAAGGATTCTAGTTCCTGAATCACGTGGACAAAGGGAAGAAACAGAACTCCCTCTTGCATCCGTCACTGCTGACAGTGGGCCAGGAGGACAGGGCACATTAGCAGAGGGTGCTCGAGGTGAGAGGCCCACTGCCTCCCACCCAGCCTGAAAAGCAGACATTTGGTCACAGTTGGAGACTGGGCTCCTGGTGAGCGTGTGGGGAGGGGCACTGGGCCTGGTGCCTTGGGCTGAGCTACAGAAATCCACACATGGGATCCATCTAGGCAGCCTCACCGCCAAGGCTTTGCACAAGCTGGTAATGGGTTCAGGTCACTCCACATCTTGTGGTTTGGAAGGCATCCCCCTTGGGTCTGCCCATGGCTTCTCATACCTCAAACCCTTGCCTGGCAAGGTCACCATGAGACATGAGGAGGTCTCAAACTCCTGCCTGTCACAGTGCCTGAAACCTGCCGCTAGTGTTTGACTCCTTTGCATCATAAAGGTTCTCCAGCCTCCCCTATGGTGATTCATTGGCTTTGCAGTCTGACAGAACAGGGTTTGAGTCTTGGCTTCTTCATTTACTAGTACTGCCCTCTGTACAAGTCATTTAACTTCTCAGAGACTCAGTTTTCCTTATCTCTATAGTGGGACTAATAACAGCATCTACTTCACAGAGTATCAGATATATTCATGCATGAGGTAGGGTGGGGTGGAAGGCTCAACCGAGTCTGAAGCAAAAAGGGTCAGATGAGGTGCAAATTAGCAGTTCAGAGGCTTAGAATGGGGCCAGGCTGTCATCTAACTTTATCAGGACCAGTTCATAGCAATACTGGTCCATCCTTTCTAACGCTGCTAAGTGCTTTGAAGACAGAACCGACTTACATCTGATTCTTCAGTTTTCAGAGGCTGTCAATCACATGGGAGAGAGATTCTAACCACCTGTCTTCTTAGGAAACATCATTGATGTTACGGATACTGTTAATGACTCAGAGAGGAAAACAGTGGGGAGAGCTTTGGACAGAGTGGCTGGCATCTGAGGTCAACTCCCAGCTCCGCCTTGGGCCCATGCCTGCTCTCCTAGGAACCTGCAGCATCCCCATGCTTATCAGGACGGTGTGAAGTTGGGGCTGGAGGAGGCAGGAGAGACCCCAGTCCACGGACTGTTTCTATATAGGTGAGGCCAGATTTGAGGACCTCGGCAGTCTCCACCATGACTTAAGAGCAAGGTATTTCCTAGGAGAACCCTAGCTCCAAGCTCCAGGATGCAGGTGCAGACAGGAAGTCCCGCCCACTGAGAACCTCCTAGTTCTTCATTGGTGGTGATCCGTGTCCTTCTAGCTCCTTGGCCCCACCCTTAGATCCCCAACTCCGTAGAAAGATTGGATTCTGGTGGATTTTCAATTTACAGTCTAGTTGGATCCCTCCAAGCGGGTCAGAGAGGGGATTTTCAGTCTCTACAGTTTGCCTAGGCATGTGATTCACATCCACCAGCTGCTCCAGGGGAAGATGAGCAATGAACTCTATTGTGATTTACTGACAAAAGCTGCTGGCGGAACAGTCAGCTGTGGGTTAGTTCCAACTCAGCGGTATGCAATGAATGACACTGACAGTTTGTCTACAGTCGCTTTTCCCAGGCTGGATCTGGGAGCCCCAGGGTCTTGGTGGATTGCAGTTCCTATGAACACCGCTCGGGTCTTATTTGGAAAGGAACATGGGCCTTTTACTCAGATAACTGCTTGAGGAGGCTCTTTCTGACCAAAGTGTGGGTGGGAACGAAAGGGGCGAGACCAGGATCTCTTGGGAGAGATATTCCTGGTGCCTGAGTAATCAACTTGGCACTCCAGGATGATCTGACCCTTACGGAACGCTCAGCCTCTTCTCTCTTCTCTTCCTCCCTCTCTCTCACGCTGCCAGCCTCACTGTGCTTCTGTCCGGTTCATCAAACATCCAGCTCTGTCTCTGGCCTCAGCTCTGCTCTCCTGGGCTATGTCTGTCCCCCTCCCTGGCCTCAATCTCAGTCCTCCTCCCTGCACCCTCCTCTCTAGAACTCACCAGGACCTCCTCCACCTTGGAGACTTTGCTTGACAGTCCTTCTGCTTGGAACACTCTCCCATCTTCCACCTGGCCAACTCCTCCTGCTCATTGTTCACGTCTCAAGCCAGCGTCACCTCCTCTGGGAAGCCTTCCCAGCTCCGATACCTCTCCCTGTCCCTACCACCTCCCAACCCTGACCCTGGCCCAGAGCAGGCAGGAGTGTCCTCAGCTGCCCTTTTCTGTGTCCCCTGGCAGCCTCCGTGAAGCCAGCAGAGCCCGTGTCGCTGGTGACCCCTGCGAAGGCAGCGGAGCCAGTGTTCCAGGACTGTGCTGAGATCCAGCGCTCTGGGATCAAAATCAGCGGCATCTACACCATCCGCGTGCCCAACATGACGGAGCCCAGGAAGGTTAGGGAACTTCTCTGAGGGGCTTCGTGAAAAGATGCTGAGCCAACAGCTGCTCAGACGGATTTCCCCACCTCCATACCATCCACTTCCTCTCCTGCTGTCCCCGACCTGTCCCCATCCCACCCCTCTGAAACTCCATCTCCCGTCATCTCTACTCACCTAGTCACATCATCATGCAAGGCTCTATTCCAATGCCACCTCCTCAGGGAAGTCTTCCAAGATTTCACAGTGATACCTTCTTGGGAATTCTCCCTGTAGCTACCCAAATGTTCCTCATCTGAAGTCAGCTGCCCACTCTTAGTCCCCATCACCACCACCACCCAGACCAAGCCACAGATTTGTCTCTGATTCATCCAGAACTAGGCAGCAAGTCTGAGTTCAGTGAACATGAACCGAGCTGACTGGGAAAATAGCATGTGAAGAGAAGTTAGACAGGAAACATCCTTTTGAGTGGTGAGTTCTTTGAAAGAACTTTGTCTTACTTAAATTCCCAGTGCTTGATCAGAACCTGGCACATAGTAGGTGCTCAGAAAAAGGTTGTCCTCTTATTTACATTAGTCCTTAGGGAGTTGCACTGCTAACCCCTAGGTTAGTGTCTCTTCAGAAATGCAAATCCACCAGCAACTCTCACAGAGAAAGATGAGCAGTCTCTGTGTGATTTACAGCCCGGAAATGCACTGGAGGGTCAACGAAGTGCTGGTTCTGACTCAAGGACAATGAGTAATGATAGTGGTAATAGGCTTTCCTGAATCTACACTGTGTGCTTTGTATACTAAACCTATCATTTAAGCCTTAGAGCAGCCTTTCTCTAACTGAATTCCATACATGTCAGGCTCTGTCCTAACCATTGACACCACTCACATTTTATGCTTCCTAACCAAAACCCCAAACAGCAGATAAGACTGTAGCACAGAGAGATGACAGTAATAACATCTCCATTTTGCAGATGAGGGAAAAAGGTTAGAGAAGGCACCACTGGCTCAACCGTAGATAGACACTTGAACTTACATCTTTCTGATGCCCTTGGCCAACAAGCTTATGTCTTACCCTGTGAGGGCTTAACTATTGAGACCACACTTTCCCACCCCACACCTGGCTCCAGGGCTTCCAGTTCCAAAGACACACACACACAATCCTGTTCCCCTCAGGTATTCTGCGACATGGAGACCAAAGGAGGCGGATGGACCCTCATCCAGCGCCGTGAGAATGGTGTTGAGACTTTCCAGAGGAATTGGCAAGATTACAAACAGGTAAAGGTAGCCATTGTCCTGGGAGGGACTTTTCAGCTCTGCAACCTGGGGCAGATGTGGGATGTGGGGAGGGTCTTTGTCTGTCCTTACCTCTTCGCAAAAGCAATCAGCACACCCAACATCAGCATTCTCAAACAGGCTGCCCCCTCCCACTTTCACTTGCAGGAACACCATCCCCTAAAGCTAAAACCCCTTTTTGAAAGTTCTGACATAGGTTTTAAGAATGAGATTTCAACTTTACTTTTACGGTCATTTAAAAAAAAATTGAGTGCCCATTACTTAAAATGCTTTAAAGATAGGGCAGCAGAAAAGTAGACTTTCCCCGCCCACCCTTGGCTACACTGACTAAAGGAATATCCTTGTCTTCGCACATGTGTAAACACATCATCAGCAAGGAGTTCTGGTGGCCTAGTGGTAAGAAGCTGCACTACAATCCTAAAGGTGTGTAGTTCGAATCCACCAGCTACTTCACAGGGGAAGGATGGACATTCTCCTCCCATGCAAAGTCTCTGAAAACCCATCAGGGGGATCAGCTATGGGTTGGTTCTGACTCGACGGCACACAACAACAACAAACATATCAGCAGGAGAGATGCTTCAAAGTAGAGTTACAAACTCAAAAGACCCCACACCCAATTATCCTCCAAATTTTTCATTACAATTTAAAAACAGAAATTTGTTGCCAAACTAGCTTAAAAGTCTTTACAGTTTTCAAAAGTGAGATAGAAATGTTGTTGTTATTGTTGTTGGTAGATGCCACTGAATTAAGTATGACTCACAGCGACCCTGTGAACAGATCTGAACCCTGTCCTATGCTGCACCACCCTTGTCATCTATGTCTTATTAAGCTCATTGCTGCAGTCACTGATACCCAAAAAGAAACACAACTGAATTATGGTGTGTGTGTGGGTGTGTGGGTGTGTGTGTGTGTGTGTGTGTGTGTGTTTTGTTTGCTCTTCAGTTGATAAATACTGAAACAAATAAAGGCCAAATTCAGCTAAGCATGTTCTTGAACCAGTTTCATTTGAAACACTCATTAAAATAGCAAAAAGAAATAAGGTGGACTCAGATGGAAAAATGCAGTAAAGAGTGTTGAATGTTGGCATTAGGATAGCCAGTGGCACGGCAGGACTTTTAGTTGGGGAGTGGGGCTGAGGTGTGCTCTGTCCTTGGTGCTGAATAATTTTGGCCCAGGTATTGGTTTGTCAAAAAAGAGCCGTAGTTGACACAGGGATCAGAAAAGGAAAGGTCGGTGGTCCAAGCCCACCAGCCAGTCTGTGGGGGAAAGATGTGGCAGTCTGCTCCCAAAAACATATATAGCTTTGGGAATCCGATGGGACAATTCTACTCTGTCCTGGAGGGTTTTCATGAGTCAGAACTGACCAGACAAGCAATGGGTTGGTTTTTAGGGTATTTTTAAAAATGGATTTCTTGCCATCCTGGGACACTGGTGTCTCTTACTGATACTTTATAGTCTTGGTTTTTCATTTGTATATTGCTGAAATTTTTTAAATGAGCCTTAACACAGAACAAAGTTTTCTCTACTAACAAAGTTTATTATAGAGTAGATACATTTTTCTTTTTTCAAATATTTTTTTAGGCTTAACACACATGCAGGTAAGAGCATCACTCCTAATTGTACAGCCCAGTGGATTGTTGTGCATTTGTTCACCCTGTGACCACCAGGAAGCTCTGGTGGCCTCGTGAGTAACAAGTTGTGCTTCCAATACAAAGAAAGGCGATTGGAATCTCCTAGCTGTTCCTTGAGTGGAAGATGGGTAATCTCCTCCAGTGTGATTTACAGCCTCTGAAAATCTTCTGGAGGGTCAGCTATGTGTCAGTCCTGACATGACAGCAATTCATTGCATTTGCGTTGTGACCACCATCCAGTTGTACACACTCAACAATTCCAGCCTCCTAGAACCCTTTCTTGAGGCTCCTCCCAGTCGGTAGATAACGTCTATCACCATAGATGCATTTTGCCTACTGTTGAACTTCACAAAAATATAATTCCAGTTCTCTTTAACAGGACTTTGCATTTACAAAAGCTTTATTTTCCTCTGGAAGTTGGGGAGCTCCCACCCTAGGCCTGCCCCCATCGGACTTATGAACTTATTATACAGAGTGGTTTTGGACAAATGGTCCCATAGCCTGATCCAGCCCAGCTCTGCAGCCAGGGGTGTAACCTCCCTCCCAGACCTCACCCCACCCTCTCCTCCTCTCCCTACAGGGTTTTGGCAGGCCAGCCGGGGAGCACTGGCTGGGCAATGAGGTGATACATCAGCTCACCAGCAGGGCAGCCTATTCTCTGTACGTGGAGCTGAAGGACTGGGAAGGCAACACGGCCTATGCCCAGTACAAGACTTTCCGTGTGGGCAGTGAGGAGCAGCTGTACAGGTGGGCTCAGGGTGCTGGACAAGAGGAGGCCTTGGGTGGGCTGCTGGGTGCAATGGCGTCTCTGAGCTGATGGCTGCAGTCTGCTCTGAAGGTCAGTCCCTGGGCGTCTCCCACTCCTCCCATCTGTCCCCGATTTGGGCGCACGTCACAGGATCTGGAGGCTGTTGGTTAGCACTCGGCACGTCTGGCCACTGGGTCGGAGGAAGAGAATGTCGCTGGCGCCAGCATCCCCAGCATCCTAGAAGAGGCAGGAAGAGTTCTTCCAAAGGCAGTCATCCCCAGGCAGTTCTTTTACAGAGACAGAGGCGGGCACGATGGGCCTGACCTGACCGGGGGAGACCTGGGCTCATCTTGGCTTCCTCTTTGGTCACTTGGTGACCTTGAGCAAGGCCAAGTTCAAGCTTCTCTGCTTCAGCATTACAACAGGCTTAAACGTGAGGATACTACAAAATTGTCAAGGTTTCCTAAACCTTCCTTAGCCTTGAGTTTTTAAGAAATGTAGTGAGCATTTATTGAGCCTAATGGTAAGTTGTGCTGCCAACGTAAAGGCAGGTGGTTCAAATCCACCATCTGCCTCTCGGGAGAAAGATAAGAGTTTTCCTCCCAAGCAATTAAAAACCTGCTGGAGGGTCAGTTCTGATTTGATGTCACACAACAACAACTGTGTTCTAGATATATTATTTCATTCCATTCTCCCAAAGTACATATTACTGCATCTAATAATACGCAAACTGCTATTTTAGATTTAAAATACTGAATTCATTGCTGTCAAGGAACATGGACACACTCCCTAGGAATGCTCACTGTTGTTTGTTGTTGTTATGTGCCGTCAAGTCGCTTGTGACTCATAGCGACCCTATGTACAACAGCCCTAAACTCCGCTCTGTCCTGTGACAATCGCACTGTCTCTGACACTCCCATCCCAATTATCCCAGTCACTGAATCAATCCACCTCATAGAGGGCCTTCCTCTCCTGAGCTGTCCCTCCACCCTCCCAAGCATGATGTCCCTCTCCAAGGACCAGTCTCTCCTCACAACATGTCCAAAGTATGTTAGACGGAGCCTCAGAATCCTTGCCTCCAAGGAGCCACCCGGTTTAACCCTTTCCAGGACAAATCTGTTTGTTTTCCTAGCAGTCCATGATATTCTCAATACTCCTCTCCAGCACCACAGCTCAAAGGCATCAGTTCTCCTTCTATCCTCCTTGGTCATTGTCCAACTCTCTGATGCATAACAAGTGATTGGGAAGACCATAGCCTGTATCAGCCGCACCTTAGTCTCCAGAGAGATGCCATTGCTCCTCAGTACTTTGGAGAGGTCCCTAACAGCAGACTTTCCCATGGCAATGCGCCTTTTAATTTCCTGGCTGCTGGTGCCAAGACTGTTCACTACAGAGTCAAGCAAACTAAAGCTGTGTACAATCTCAATCTCTTCACCATCCATCCTGATGCTGCCAATTGGTCCAGCGGTTAGAATCTTTGTCTTCTTGACATTGAGCCTCAATCCATATTGTAGGCTGCAGTCCTTGACACTCTGCAGCAAGCGCTTCAGGTCCTCCTCAGTTTCAGCAAGCAGGGTAGGGTTGTGTCATCCGCAAAACGCAGGTTGTTGATAAATCGTCCACCAATCTTGACCCCATATTTCTCCTCATAGAGCCCAGCCTCCCGGATAATCTGTTCTGCATATAGGTTGAAAAGGTATGGAGATAGGATGCATCCCTGGCGTACGCCCTTCCCAATTTTGAACCATGCAGTGTTCCCTTGCTCTGTTCTGACGACTGCCTCCTGGTCCAAGCATAAGTTTCGCATTAGAATGATCAAGTGTTCTGGGATTCCCATTCTTCTCAGAGTCAACCATAGTTTGTTATGATCTACACAGTCAAATGCCTTTCCATAGTCAATGAAACACAGATAGACACTCCTCTGGTATTCCCTGCTTTCAGCCAAGATCCATCTAACATCAGCTACAATATCTCTAGTACGACGACCCCTTATAAAGGGCAACACACACAGACACAGGTACACGTTTGCATGTACAGGGGTGCTCCGGGCCCCAGGGGTACATGCTGGTTTCCAGAGCACACTAGTGCATAGCTACACAAACAAACACATACCTTACACAGAATATCCAGACATGTGTGCAAGTGGCCCATGCAGCAGTGAGTGTGCACACACAATCCCAGGTACAAAGTCAGGTTCCAGAACACACACTCAGACCCATAATGTGCCTTCCAGGGCACATTCAGCACAACCACACACATACAGCTCAGGGCACAGAGACTCCTTCCCAAGTACAGACACAGATGCATAAAGTCTCACACAGGTGAAAAGCACCCCTTGTATTGTGTGTCTAATTTGGGCATCTGGAAGACATTCATGGGCTTGGGGATTCTCAGACCTTGCCCATACCACATCAAAGGTGCATCTGAGATTCTGACTCCCAGAGGGGAGAGGAGAGAGGCAGAATCCAAGGACTTGGAGACAGTAGAGGGGCCAATGCTCCTCGCATTATCCTAAAGGCCAGTAGGCTCTGTCCAACCCTAATTCCATTAGCCCCGGGTTAACTATGACCCTAAACCTCAGCCTGAGTTCTGAGCTTGACCTTGAACTGACTTCAGTTCAGCCCTCAAAGGGAAGCCCTCAGATGCCAAAAGGAAGAGCTAGGCCCTGAGGGGAGCCTATGGTCACTCAGGGAACCCTTGACTTGACCAGATGTGCCTCTTTGCAAAGGATGCTACACCACCAGTCATCGGACTCCAGAGCGATATCTCAAAAGGCACAGTCTGCTCCTGAAGGTCATGCCCTGTCCTGCACAGACAGACAGAGCCCATGGGCAGAAGGGAGAGCCTGAGCTGGCCATGTTTCCAGACCCACTCATGACCTCTGGATCCCCTCAGGGATATCTCCATGGTCCTGCATCCCACAGCTGCCCTGGCCACAGCTGGCACCCACTTGCCTCTACCCAGTAGGAACTTCCTAATTGCTCCCAAACTCTCTTCCACCTCGGGTGCCAGCGCAGCCCGTCCCCTCCCGCAAGCTCCCATTGTTCTGTCCAGCCAGACTCAGCTGAAGCCTGTGACAGTTGCAGCCAAAGGACAAGTAATATCTCTCATGCTTTCAAATGTGTTGAGTCTTCACTATGTGCCCCACGTGCTGTGCACACTTCACACTGAAATCATCAAACCAGTAATCAGACGTCATCCCCGTTACTCTTGCCATATTAGTAAAGGAAGACATTGGAGCCAGAGAAGTGAAGCAGTTGCATAAGGTTACACAGCTAAGCGCCAGAGCCGGGGTTTGAATCCAGCCATTCTGTCCCCAGAGTCCATGGTCTTAATCATCATGCAGACTCAGGTCTGTCTGCCAGAGCCTCACAGCTGGGCTAAGAAATAGACCCCTTCCCCCAGTTGTCTACAGATGTCAGTAAGGCAGGGCTGAGACACTCAGAGGGACAGACTCACAGAGGCTGCTCTGTTCAGAAAAGGCTTCCTGGAGGAGGTGGACAGATGTGGGGAGGTACTTGACAGCATGGTCAAATGGAAACAAGATACATACAGGTTCCCATACCAGGCCAGCCCAGGCTGGAGTCTGGGCCTGACCCTCATTTATTCTGAGGCAGATTTTTCTGTTCTGGAGCCTTTAGTATCCTTGACTCTATGTGTATTGGTGTTGTCATGTAGTCGACTCTGACTCAGGGCAGCTCTATGGCTGTCAAAACAAACCCCAAACCATCCTGGGCCAGCTTCCTGTGCTCCCCTGAGCCTGGACCTACTGCTGCAGTCACGGCATCCAGCCAGTTCACAGAAGACTCTTCTCCTTCACTACTTTTCCAAGCGGGGTGTCCTTCCCCAGGGACTGGCCTCTCCTGGTACCACACCCAAAGTGTGTGAGACAAATTCTCACCACCCTTATTTCCAAGAAACCCGCTGGCTACACTGCCTCCAAAACAGATTTGTTTGTTCTTTTGGCAGTCCGTGGAACATCCCAAATTCTTCACCAACAACTCAATTCAAATTCATTACTACTTCTTCTACAGGCGTCCTTATTCCCTGTACAACTTTCACATACATAGGAAGCAACTGAAAGAACTGTGGCTTGGCTCAAGTGAAATTTAGTGAAGTGACATCCCTGGATTGAACCAGAGGGGTTAAACTATGCAAAGCACTGAGGGCAATGCCTGCCACTCAGAAGAGACCACTGTTGTCATTGTTGTGACCTGTTCTCACTCTTATCTAAGGAATAAGGGAGGTGAGGAAGGCCTGACACACAGGTGCTTTGTGCCTGGGGGGCAACTGGGGGCCTTAGGGAGGATGGTGTGGGAGAGTAGCCGCCCAAGCCCCTCCAAGGACAGTGGTGCTGAGACCCAGCTTAGCAGAAAGCTCCTGGTTCATCTCTGCCCTTTCTCCCATTGCCTCCTCCCGGTGGTCTCCAGGCTTTTCCTGAGCGGCTTGAATGGTACGGCAGGACGCCAGAGCGGCCTGTTCATGCAGGGCGTCAACTTCAGCACCCGAGATGCTGACAATGACATCTGTCACTGCCACTGCGCCCAGTTACTGTCCGGAGGTAAGTGAGAGTGGGTGGCGCCTTGTGCATTGCCTCCTAGAACCCGTGGGAGTGGGCGCAGGCTAGGACCTTGTCCACTAGCAGGCTCACCTGGCCCACCTGTGCCTGTCCCGACCAGGTCCTTGGTGACCCCTCTGGATTTTTGCCTCCCTAGAATGCCAATACCACCAGCTTTCCTCAGAGATCAAGCTTTAAGAACACTGTGCAGGGCGCCAGCGGGAGCGTTAGGAAGGCACAGTGGCTGATGGACCACTCACCTCCCAAGGAGCAGGACAGATGAGATCTGGTTGGAGAGCAGGGGTAGCAGTACCCCCCCTCCCCCCCCAGTGCTGAGGAAATGAGGTCCTAAAGAGGAGGAGGAAGATGAGCAAGAAAGAGCCTGAAGGGGAGGGAAATAGGAGGAGAGACAGCTGAGGTGAAGAGATAGGGATTGATGGAGACAGAGAAAGAAGCTGACATAGGAAAGAGAGAGAACTACACGGAGACAGAAGACAGAGGGGGAGCAATGGAGAGAACCAAGGAGACCAGAAGACAAAGAGGAATGGGCGTGTTTTTACGAGGTGTGGGCGTGGTTTGTGAGCCTCAAGGCCACAGAGACTCAAGATGGGGGGTGGGGGGGCGGAGAGGGAGTCCAGGAGAGAGAGGCAAGGATAGAGACCAGCGAGAGATTTAACCCAGTGTGTGAGAGACTAGACTGGTGGGAACAGCGTGATGGAGACCAAGCTAGGGAGCTGCTGAGGCAGGACAAGAAGACAGGGACGCACAAGCATGGAGAGTCTAGGAGGACAGCCCAGTGCGGCCCTGGGGAGGACCCAGGCTGAGCAGAGAGTCTGGGAACCTTCCCTCAGCCCACCATCTGATCCCACTTTAGCTCCTTCCAGCTGACTTCCTTTCTCCTCCCACCAGGATGGTGGTTTGATGCCTGCGGCGGCTCCAACCTCAATGGCGTCTACTACACCTTCAACTACCACTTGAACAAGCTCAATGGCATCCGCTGGCAGTACTACAAGGGCCCCAGCTACTCGCTGCGTGCCACGCGCATGATGATACGGCCTGTGGGGGTCTAGTGGGCAGTGCATCACGGACCACAGAGGAGAAAGGCCTGGTGCCCGCAGGCCACTGGACAACACGGTACACAGCTCAGGGTCTTGTCCTGGACACCTTGGACTTCCTGAGCCAGGCTTCCTCTCCCAGAAGTCCAGAAGAGTCAGCATCCATCCTATCTTTTGCAAGTTGTGAAATGGTGGGGCTTGAGGGACCCTGCATCTCCTTCAATCCTCCTGCCTCCTACCAGCATGAAGATGACAACACTCTGAAGGAACTGAGAATAGACGCCTCTCTGCTCCTCAAATGAATGTGTGACTAGTGATGGAATTTCAGGCCGATGGGGGCAAGATATTTGCGGGAAGCAGCTGCCCGGATGGGGGCTCCAATTGGTTCTGGGTTCAGTGGGGAGACCTTTTCTTGGGATAAGTCTACATTGAGCTTTCCCAGCCTTGTGATGCTCTTGAACTTTCTTTTCAAGGCTGACAAAACAGCAAGAACCCCCCCCTCAAAAAAATGGGTACCAGGACCCACTCCCCCACTAACACCAGCCTGCCCCTAAACCTAGCCTCTGGGGTTCAGACTGGGTACAGGGGTTTCAGAAGACCCAGGAGGGCTTCCTCCATTCCTGCTTGTTCTTGAGTATTTCACAGGGGCTGACTAGGGCTTGCACTAAGGCTCCCCCTAAAAGTACCTGGAGACAATTGAAAAAGGGAAATGTGCATTAAACCAAAGTAAACAGGCTTTCTTACCTGAAGGACTTGTCAGAACCTTTACTGGGGTCGTGTGCACTGAGACTGTCCACCACAGGGCTCGAGTGGACAACTGTATCCAGACATTAAAGAAACAAACTCCAAATCAACAGACTCATTGCTGTCCAGTTAGAACCGAGGCTGACCCTCCAGTCTCTGCTCAGCCTGAGTCTCCGAGGCTCTAAATCTCGGAGGAGATTGCCCAACTTTCTCCCCTGGAGCCACTAGTGGACTCAAAGCCCCAGAGAGGCACATGTGCCTTAGCAGCGTGACTCCCTGAAGGACACACCACCAAAGCCGCCTTCATCCAACAAACTTGCCTGAACATCTTCCGGTATCTCTTCAGGCTATGGCTGCCGTTGGAACAGCTGGTCCTCTCTGGTCATTTCAGGGTGTTCCAGGGGAACTCCCACCCCTCATGTCACGCCATGCTCATAGTGACAGCCTCTAGAAACAACCGAAAGGGACATATGGGCCGAAACACACACACCTCATCCCCGAGACGAGTTCTAAGGCTCCGTTTCCCTGTCTGTGCAGTGCACAGGTGTCTACCAAGACTCCTTCCAGCCCCAGGAAGCGAGTTCTCAGCGTGGGGTGCCCTCCGAACACTCAGCCAGGCTCAAGTGTAGGGACTTTTGGGGACTCTTCACCTTGGGCAAGATACCAACTGCAGGACTAGGCTCTGTCTTCAGAAAGGCTCTTGGATAAGATTTGGTCATCTGAGAGGGATACCTGCATCCCACCTCTCCTGTCCCAACCCCTGAACCTGTCAACCTTTTCCTCAAAGAGAGAAATGCCCAGACTTTGAAGGAAATACTTTCTCCCTTGGTGACCCAAAGGGTATGGTGTCCAAGGGTGGCAATTCAGGCAGGACAGAGAGCGTGTTTCATGGGCTGGTTGCTGTCCACAAAGCTCAAATTGCCTCACACAGCATCTGTCAGGTGCAGGGCCAAGCTGCGGGTAGACAGGGCACACGAGCCTGCTCCAGCTCTGAGAATAAGGCCAGCAGTTCTGCCTCCATTGTCACATCTATTATCAAAGCCTCAGTTGTCTTGTCTGTGCAGTGGGATGGTAATCCTTCCTTCAGGACTGTGGTGAAGAGGAAGGAGGTGAGGTATAGAACCTTCTGAACAGGGCCTGGTCTGAAGCAGGTACCTAATAAATGAACTTGAAGGGGTGGCTGGTGAGGAGAACGCTCCCAGCACATACTGTCTCCTCTCCTGACCTGGGGGCGGGAAACGCGTTTTAGCTTTGTATCCGCAGGGTTTTATTTTTGTACCATAGGGCATATAGGCTGACTGTGGACTGAACAGAAGAGGGAGAAGCCGTGGGCCCACAGACAGAGCTTTCTGGGAAGAGAAGGCACAAATACCACTTGTTCTTCCTGTATCCAGTTTCCGGTGAGACCAGGAAGCTGGTTTGGGTTCCCCTCAGACACCACTCCTTAAATATTCACCCAGCCTTCTAACTTTCCTTCCTCCACCATCCCAGGTCCTTAGGTGCAACATAGAAAACTTGTCGTCGGAATAAGTAGACCCATCGCTAGGAAGGCTGGGGGTGGATTCAGTCAGGTTCAGTGAGATCCGGGGGCTCAGCTGCAACCGTGCTCCTTGGCCTGGCCTGTCACCCGTCATGCTGGCTTTGTTCTCTGTCAGGTTCTTTTCTGACAGAATGACGCCAGCTCACGTCCTCCTCCCAGCCCGGCATCCCTCAGAAAAGGCTCACTGACCCACAGGCTCCTTCTGATCAGCCAGGACCAGCCCTGTGTCGGTCCCTACACTTAACACTAGACCTGGGTCACATGCCTGAAACCAGGGGGGGGGGGCAGTCGTACTCAAGTCATGGGAACCGGAAGTGGGGAAACTGAGGCACTGTCTTCGAGAGGAGGGAAGGCTGAGCAGGCAAGAAGAGAAGCTTGTTCACTCTCTCTCCTCCCATCTCTCTGACTCCCATCTTCTTTCTACCTCTAGCCCCTCCCTCTGCGTTCCTACCCCCAAAGCTGAGCTGTAGACTCCAGCTCACCCCAAGGTTTCTGCCGACTCCCAAGGGCACCCGTGTGACGATGCCAGATCCTGGTTCACAGTCAGGTTTTACACAACCCCCTGGAGCAGAGCCCTACCCCTCACTGAGCCTCAGTTTCCTCATCTGTGAAAGAAGAAGGAGGCATCTGTTGACCTCTTGTTATTGTTGTTTTTATGTGCCGTCGAGTTGCTTGTGACTCATAGCAACCCTATGTACAACAGCCCGAAACCCTGCTCTGTCCTGTGCCAATCGCACTGTCTCCATCCAACACACCTACCCCGATTACCCCAGTCACTGAATGAATCCACCTCATTGAGGGTCTTTCTCTCCTGTGCTGTCCCTTCACCCTCCCAAGTATGATGTCCTTCTCCAAGAACTGGTCCCTCCTTGCAACATTCCCAAAATATGTCAGATGAAGCCTCAGAATCGTTGCCTCCAAGGAGCAGCCCAGTTTAACCCTCTCCAGGATGAACCTGTTTGTTTTCTTAGCAGTCCATGGTAAGTGCAGTTAAGTCGGAATTGACCCATAGCTGACCCTCCAGTGTAAATCACTTCAAAGGGGATTACCCATCTTTCTTTTGTGGGGCAGCTGGTGGATTCAAACTATGTGCATTTGGGTTGGCAGCACAGGACCTAACCACTAGGCCACCAGAAAGCCCTCATGAACATCGATGGCTGCAGACAAGACCAGCCATTGAACACTGGGCGGCAGCAGCATTCTGGGGGGAGAGGATGTGATTAATGTGACTTGGGGTCTAGCCTGTGTTTCCTGGGGAACCACAAATCTCAGGAACTGACTTCTGGTGTACCTATATCTGTAGGTTCCTGGGCAGAATCCCTCCCATACCTCTCTCTCCCCCCATATCAGATGAGCTTTCCCCTCATGTTGATGGTGATGAAATTGGAGCTCAGAGAGAGAAGGGTCTCATCTAAGGAGGCACAGCCAGATATCAGTGCCCCACCGCCAGCATGCCTGCACTGATGCAATACCGCCCTCTAGGAGAGCTTTCTCGGGACCTCCACATTCACTACAGAAGTTTTGGGCTGTTGCCCCCTCCACCTGTACCCAGAGCTGAAGGTGTGTGCTCACTGGTCCCCCAAAACCAGCCCACCCTTTCCTTGGTAGTCAGATGGGCAGAACACACTGTTCTTGAGAGTTCTGCAGAGAAGTAAAATGCTCCCAACAAAGACAATTTGAGCACGAGGGGAGCAAGTTCATGTGCAAACCCTGGAGACTATGTGAACTCTGGAGACCGGTGAGGAGGAGGAAACCCTGTCGGGGAAGAGGTAGCCACATCAGGATGGCCAGGAGACCTGAGCTTTTCTCACCAGGGTTTTTTCCCTCCATGTCTGCACATGTCTTTCACCTCCCTAGTTAAAGATGCTCCAGAAAGCTAACTGTGTTACCATGGCAACACCAGCATCTTTTAATGGAGCAGCCTTTCAGAGAATGGAATCTTTTGCCTGGTTTTCTTGCCTTAGATTGCCATGATGCTTTACAGCTCAGGTCCCGCTGCATCCTGGATGCAGAGAGGCCTAAAGGCCCCAGAGTCCGATCTCCTCCAGCCTCCCTTTTCTCATTTGCAGAAAGGGGAGACTGGCCCTCTTATTTGCAAGAAGGGGAGACTGGGCCCTGGGTCACAGGGAATCTCGAGCGTTCACTTTGCTGGTGGACATCTAGGCCTGGCACATCACCGGTGTTTACTCATTCACTCAAATTTACTTGTTCACTTAGCAAGTGTGTGTTGAGGATCCAGTGAGGCCAAGGTTGAGGGTTGAGGACAGAGCCGTAAACAAAGACACACACCCACAGTCCTGCACTCACAGACCTTGACACACTTGGGGGAGAGAGTAGCAAAACAAAATGAACACATTCATTTCAACACTGCAAACAAAGACATTGTTGGTGTTGATGTGAGGCGCCTTGAAGTCAACGCTGGTGCACAGCAATCCTCTAACAGCAAGTGTGACTCTCGTCCTATCCTGAGCCATCCGAGCCTTCTCTGATATGCTTGAGCTCGTTGTTACAGTCACTGTGTCAGTTCATCTCGTGGAGGGTCTTCCTCTCTTTCTCTGACCCTCCTCCTTTCCCAGCAGGATGTCTTTTTCCAAAGACTGGCCCCTCCTAACAGCATGCCCAAGTACGTGAGATGAACTTCCACCATCCCTGACTCTTAGGAGCATGCTGGTTGTACTTCCACCATCCCTGACTCTAAGGAGCATGCTAGTTGGACGTCCTCCTAGGAATA